AATACATTAATTATTTAAATAAAATAATAGCAAACTAAAGTATGAATTTTGGAAATTATATCTGTTGATAAAAATTCTGATCAAAAATTTGTTTTTCAAATTAATCAAAGCTAATTGTAGGATTGATCATTTCGCAAAATTTATCTGCTAAAATTTGTGGAATTTGTATATGTCATTTAAATGATTTTTTTTCGCAAAATTCTTTTTTTTTGTTTTTAAATGCTACATGAAATTAAAAATGTTCTTCTCGTTAGTCAGCTAAGGTGCTCAGTTATATACAGAAAAAAAAATGTTATAACATCATTAAACTATATCCAAGCAAAAAAAAAAAAAACTCAATTACTGATAGCCTAATGAATGATATACCTTTGGAGTTTTTTTTTTTTTATATAAATATTATCATGATGTTGAAATCCTTTTAGTAAATAAAACATTCAACGAGTACTTTTACGTCCGGTTGGCGTACGTGGATTAGCAAGCATTGGAACTGTATTAACAGTATCCGGATGAAAATTTCCAGAAGACCGTACATGAGAGAATTGTGAAGCAGTTGGTGATTCGGGCATTTGTGGAACCGAATTTGTCCGACGAATATCGGCATTTTTTTTAATTAATGCTGTTTCAAACATTCCAGTTTCCAAACCAATTCCATTTCGTTTAAGCGTATGATGAATTTTGAACTCATCCAAATATTTTTTATCATGCATGGTAATATAACCTATCGGTTCACATAGAGCCTGCATTAAAAAAAAAAAAAATTTGATATTTTATAGAATAAAATTTCATGGATCAAAAGTTAATAATTGAAAATATTTAATGATGAATAATATAGTAGAAATTACCTTGAAACGTTTATCTTCAGCGTTATAAAATGAATGATAACCTCCTTGTAAAACATAAATTTCATTGTAATAAAGAAATGGATATTTGTCATAATTTCGGACACGATCACTTTTTCGCAAATGTGATGCGCTATAAGAAAAAATTTAAAAAAAAAAAGAAACAAAAAAAAAAGGAAAGAAATAAAGAATCACAAAGAGTTATCCGATATTTGAGTAGCACAAAGCAATAGATTTCGATTAATGTTTTTTTTTTCTTCTTTACATTTCTAAATTAGAGATTTTCATGCAACTATTTAGTAAGCGAACTTTCTTATCTCATATTTACTCTTGAAATTAATGAAATTAAAATTAAGTTTATTTCGGTATGGTAATTAATGTAAATGGCGTAATTATAATAAGGATTACTAAAAACAGTTGGTCTTTGTAATAGTTGAATTTGTCTGTGCAAATGAAGCTATAAGGTTAAATGACAAAGTATGAAAGGGGATAGATAATTCCCGATACAAGAATCATGATACTAATATCAAGCAATTAATACGAAAATCTTTTCAAAATATCTAAAAAAGTAAACTGTAAAAAAAATATCTAGAAAAGTAAGTTGTAACGAATTAATTCTTTTTTTTTTCATTTAATATAATTCATTGTGTAAGTTGTATCCTAAAAAAAATGATAAATGCACAAAAAAAAAATTGATCAAACAAAACAAAAAATTCGATTAAACAAATAAAATACAGTAATAACGTACAGTAATGGCCCTCGAGCACTTGAATATTCGCAGTAAAATATTGGAATTTTTTTAACCATATCACTTAATATTTCCGGACATTCGGGAAAGAATGAATTTTCCAGTACCACAGGATCATATATATTTAACGCTCCCTGAACAAGAAATTAATACTCATTTATTCAGTATTGATTTTCCATTTGGAATAAAGATAAATATAATCTTAGGAATATTTTAGCCAGATAATATATACATATAAATGCTATTATTAAAAGGACAACCGTATAATTTGAAAAAAAAAAACTCAATTTGAACTCAATTACATAGTATTAGCTTATACAATATAAAATATCTTATTTAAAACGATTTTAGGTTTAATTTTTTATAGTTTACTATTTACTTAGTAGCATCCTACATATTATATGCCATTTCAAAATATTTTATACATTTTTCATATCTTCTTAGTTTTTACAAATTATTTCAATAAAATATCTTTTCAAGCATATAATTGCAGAAAGGATGATTTTTGAATATTTGCATACCTTAATATGTCCACCCTTATATTCATATGGATATCGGCAATCGATAAGGGCATATTTCTTGATAAATTCGTGAAGTTTCATAGATTCAAGCAATTCTTTCAGGACAACTTTTTCAATGCATGCAAAACCTGCCGTGAGAATGTTTGGCTTCTTCACAGTTACTAATGAATATTTCTAAAAATAATAATTGTTTAAAAATAATTTTAAATTTCAAAATTTCAAAAAACAAAACAGAATTTGAAATGTTCAATTTCATATCGCTATCAGATTAGTTAACAAATCGTTAATCGTAATTTTGGGGCATGATGAAATGTAAAAAAAAAATCTTCCATAATGAAAATTAATTTGCAGTTTAAATTTGAGATTTTGAAATGCTATGCAATTCAATGGGTTAATCATAGCGTTCATTGTTATTCAAAGAAACGTTAAATTTGAAAAGTTTAAATTTGCAGATTTTGTTAGTTCTTTTGAAATTCGTGAGTATTTATCGATGTTTATTGTCCTGTTATATAAAATTTTTCTCTTCGAATTGCTCATTTTTCAACTTTTTAATCCTACAATTTTAGATTTCTGGACTAAAAATTTAGCAAGAAATGTCTTTTTTTTAAAGCATATAAATAAGCTACGAACAGTCTAATTTGGGAAATCATAATTTTAATTTTAATCGAAATTTTTTCTTCTTTTTTCTAAAAAAAAATTGGAAATGCTTCATTGCTAGCAAAATCAATTCTATTAACAAAATTTTTAAATTTTAAAATTTTATCCAACTGAAAATTTTCAAGGTGGAGAAGTACAAATTATTTTATCGAATGAAATGAAATGAAATAACTTACAAATTTACAAAAGTAATCAATATTTTCGTTTGCTTTCTTTGCTCCATTTTCTTTCTTCTCATCTTTTTTGCTACTCTCAGCTTCTCTTTTCAATCGCTTCTCTTTATCCTTCATTTTTTTTTTTTTTAAATAAATGATAAGAATTAAATTTCATTGTTAGTAATGTTGTGTGCAATTTATGAGAGAAAGCCAAAGTAAAATAACATTATCTAGCGGAGAAGTGTAAAAGGGAAACTTACAATATTATTGACAGTATTGGAAGTTGAAAAAGTATAATATGCTTAGTATTTATAGATAAAACTGAGAAAGGAAGAGTTTAGTGATGTATTTGAAGTACAAGTATAAATATTTCTAAAGATAATAATTGCTGAATAGTAATTTTAAACTTCAAAAAAGAATTGAAACAAGTTCAAAAATGTGTAAATTACATCATTATCATATTAATTTTCTCATTAGCAAATCGTCAGTTATAATTTCAACGTTTAAAACTTTAAATAATTTTTGAATGATTTAAATTAATAAAATTACTTCTTTCCGTCGTTTAATCACTGGTTCTTGCTCATTTTTACGAATGTTCTGTTGCGTCACATTGAAGCGTTTCCCGAGTGCTTGATTAAAGCGTTTTTGTAATTCATACATTTCATGATCGGCAATAGCATCCTGAATGGAACATAAAGAATCGTGGATAATTTCATCTTCGATATCCGTTTCGGAAGTTGTTCGAGGAGAGGAATGAGCGGTGTTAGCAATTAATCCCATCTTTTTCAAACTTTTCTCATTTTCTTCATTTGTTGTTTTTCGTAAATGTTCAAACGTTGATGGATGACGTTTGATGACAGCGTAATCCGTAATGGAAGTTTGCAACGGATCATTTTTTCCGACATTTCTCTTCTGATATCGGTTATTTTGACTGAAAATAAATGATCATACTTTTTCATCACACATACTCTTTAAAAGAAATGATAAAAAATATTAAATCACAATTAACTGATATTTTGTTTTCCATAAAAAGAGTTGATATTTTGAAGATTTCTGGTGAATTTAATTGTATTTTGGCTTGCAAAGTTAAAGTTCATTCATTATTTCTCGATTGTAAGACTTCTATAAAATTGCCACTTTTTTTTTATACTTACGACCAAATGAGTGTGCTTGATTTTCTTTTTTTTTTTTTGGGAGGAAAGAGATTGGGGAATTATTAAAATTGGAACTAATATTATCCCTGTTTTATCATTTTTAAAATATTCTTTCAAATATATCAGCTAGTTTGGAAAATCTCAAATAAAATTTTCAAATTTTCTTTTTATATTCTTTTTCAAATGTCTTTTTAATTACATGAAAAGTTAGCTGATAAGACATTTAATACTTAAATCATTATTTAATTTTTTGAATAAGAAATATTGTACCGGTTGGTAATGTCAATAAATGATCGTCTTTGCAATACATTTCCGGTATTTTCAAATGCATGCATACTATTCTCCATTAAAACTGCCAGTGCTGTCTGGAACTCGTATTAAATGGAATATAAAATATATCCAAGAAAAAAAGTCTTATTTAGCCAAATTTACGAAACCATCTAGAAATTTCTATGTTAATTTCGAAAAACTGAAAGTGGTAATTGAAGATGAAACATTTAGATTTGTAATTAAAATCTTACCCCTTCTATTTGTTTCTTATTAGAAGTTTTTGTGGCTTGTGAATTTTCATTTTGAGCATCGTCCATTGTTTCTAAACAGTTAATTTTGACAATTTCAACTTAATATAGTGACTTCAGTAATAAGAAAGTTTCAAAAAAATATTTGAACTTTTAAGTAAGAAACTTCTAAAAGTTAAAATTGACTAGTAAAAGTTTCTATGTATCGCAAAGTGACAGAATGAAACATTTTATAATTCTTAGTTATAAATCGTTAAATTGCTAATTATATTTTAAATTTTGTTACATATAAAGCCAAAAGAAAGAAAGAGCAAAAAAAATAAATTAACCGATAAGATTGTTCTCGTCATTCTCACTATCAGCAGCTAATCTGAAATATATGCATTTTGAATGTTAGCAAAAGTTTCAAGAATCTAATGAATTGGCTTCTCGGTTTGAATGTTGCATTCAGATAAAAAGAGAAGTTGTAAATGTTATTAAATTTATTGACGTTAAGACAGCTTAAATGGAATGCAATGATAAAAACTGATCAATATCAGTTATTTATCATTTGAATTATTTTATAGTTTGCAAAATTTTAGAAACACTTTTACAAACATTTCCTCAATTCATTCTCTTTTCGCTTTGCCAAATTATTTAATTTCAAAAAAGTGAGAAAGTTATAGGGAAAGTGTTAAATGTGTGAATAATTGATATGAAAAATCATTTCAATTTTAATCAATCATTTTTGCTAATAATTTTAATTCTGCTTGAAGTTAAAGAGCATTTTTAAGTTTAAAAAAATTATGAGAGAAATTTTTTTCGTTGGATTTTGAATAACATATGATTTTAAGAGAAGAAGGATTGAATAGTGAGCATTTGTTCTAAAATAAATATTCGGTAGCTGTGAACTCGGGTGAACAAAGTATCATTCTAAAATTTCAATCATTCTTAGGATTCAAGAAATAATTTAAAATTAGTGCTCTTTTGAAAGAATCTTTCCTAATTGAAGTATATTACACTGCAGCGTTAAAAGTGATTCAGCAAATTAAATATTCATACATCGGCTATTAATAAAATTCAAATTGAAAATTCATAGAAATTTGAGTTAAAAATTATTTTAATGAAATTTTGAGTAAATATCAAGTTTTATGAATTATAAAATTAAAAGAAGTAAATGGCTTGCAAACTAAAATATAATGTAAAATAAATGCTAAAAAAAAATTAAATTATCTAATTGCTAATTTTCAATAATAACGAAAAATACAAAGTAATATTCCGTAAAAGTTAAAAAAAAAACAAAAGGAAATAAATAACAATGAAAATTTTGAATGGAAGAATTTTTAAATTTTCTTTAAA